GCATGTATTATCACTGCTGTAGTTGTTATGTCACAGTGCCTACTAGCATTTGCACCTACCAATTCCGGGAAATTAGCGGGATATTATTTGTACTACCTAAGCCCTATTGGATTCATTTGCATCTTGTCCCAGGTGTCTTCGTCGGTGGCTGGCCACACCAAAAAGATTACAGTTAATGCTATTTTCTTGATTGGATACTGTGTTGGGAACTTGATTGGACCACAGACTTTTATCGACAATCAGGCACCAGATTATGCCGGGGCTAAAATAGCAATTGTAATTTGTGGAAGTATTTCACTTGTATGTTTGATTGCTATATACATCTCTTATTACTGGGAGAATAAGAGACGTGATTCGTTGCCACATGTTGATATGAGTCATATTGAAAATTATGAGTTTGCCGACTTGACAGACAAGGAGAATCCTAATTTTAGATATGCTCTTTAAATGGTGTCTACAGGATGTAGGTTGGGGTCTTTCCTCGTTCATTATAGTTATACACAGCTAACTGGTATTCAATACCTTATTTTCTTTCGCTTCTTAGTCATAACGCTCTACAAGGCTAGTGGTATGCAAATATCTTATTATTCTGAGATATCCATATTTGCTTCACCATATTTGACACTTTAGGAGTAAGTCTAATAGTAGAATATCCTTTTGATATTCTCTTCGCTATTGATAGTAGCTCAATATCCCTGTTCACATTTGGGCCCTCTCTGACTCTTTCTACAGTATATATATATATATATATATATATTGGCTTATCTGTGTGGAAAAAAGCCGCATCTATGCCGATGAGAAGAGAAAACCAAAAATGGAAAATATTTTTGACAAAGCTTCACACATTTAACAGCTATGTATTATCAATTTCAAGTACGGAGACAATTCTCAAAGCTAGCGTCACTCTGTAAGAGCAGAGATGTGAAACCTGTTTATCGCCCTCATCATCACTGTCTTTCCATTGCTCATAGGAAGACTCGGCTGTCATCACATTATCAATTTCGTTAATCAGTATCTCAGTTTCGTTTTCAGCGTTAGCTCCGTGGAACGCACTGTCCCAGCTCAAGACCAACACACCACATAGGACGCCAAGCAACCCTATAACTATCCACGAGAATTGCGCATACGTCATTTTGTGGTCTGTCAAGAGCCTGTTGAATCTCAAGTCGTTGATCAAATTCATTAAGTTGTACACCAAGAAACACAATGGATATAATATAGTGGTTGATATCTGTGCCAATCCTAGATTGAAGGCCGTAAGTTGTAAACCGACTATGCTGAGCATGGCTACTAAGAGCAAGTACGGTACAATGTTGCTGACTTTGAATACACCAGCAAATCCTTCCTTCACGATCGTTTCCATAATCACGCTGATTATTGATTTGGCAAAGAGGAAAGTGTGCGCTGTCAAGGTTCCACTAATGATTCCATAGTTTATCCCTTTCCAAAATTGGTTCTTGTTGAACTTGAGTACTAGAGTGTTGTTCTGAGCATCTTTTAACGTAAAGTTTTGTCGATATTGATATGTCTTCTTTTTCAAATAGACACAATTGACCACTAAAAGGGCCATCATGAATACAAATGTTCCAATAAACCACGTCAAAAATGAACTGTCCAATAACTTTGACAAAATAATTTTGAATTTCTCATTAATATCGGGCGTGGGGCCATTCTCTGGTGGCTCTGTATTTGAAGACCCGTTATACGCAATAATGCATGCACCAAACGCTATGATTCCGGTTCCCGACCATAATTGCTTTGTAAAATACTCTCCTGGTAGTAGCATACAGCTAAAAATCGAATTGAATATTAGACCAATGCTTTGTAGTGGAGACAAGATAATGAGGGGAAGGGTAGATATTTGAATTGCAGAACCCAATACATTTGCAATAATAAATAGACTGAATCCTAGATACCACATATTGCGTCTATACTTTTGTTGTCGACTATGAGTTGTGTGGTGGTACGCGCCATCTGTGGAGATCTTAGTAACAGTTATAGTATATGCTCCATTCTCCCTCCCCCTCAACTTATTAGCAAATAAATAAGCAATAGTCTTAAGTAACTCCGTTACCGAAAGTTTAATAACTTAGAAATACACTTTGCCGTCTCCGGAATGAAAGAGGGATACTGTCATGCGACTGCCTAAAGTGGAACTATGCGCATGATAAGAAAATTAATTACAAATTTTTTTGACACAATCAGCAAAAACAATTGATAGTAACTTAGAGGACAAGATTAGTATCTCTGATCGGCTAGAAAAGATACGTTGATAAAGCTATTTAAGAGAGAAGGGTCCACTCACCGGGCCACACTGCCCGGGCCGTTCAAATTTAAACGTTTCTGATCGTAAATTGACAGGATCTAGAATTTGAAATCAAACAAGTGACATGAATCAGCTGACTTGTTCAGTTTGAAGCAAGAGGTCTTATAGATGCTTGGCCGTTTCTCATTCTCATTCAGTTAGACCGTTGTTCGATCTTTTTTAACCGATGCCACATATTTCATATTCATAAACTAAATCTTGGTGCTAGTACTCCTATTGTTTTTCATTTGGCCATTGTTCTATTGATAACCAATTTGTTATCTATTATCGAAGTGCACTACTGATAAGGACAGCACAGGTCAAATCGAAAGATGTCTTAGATAAAGATTGATAAATTAGTAAAAAAGGGCCTAAAGATTGACTAGTACATAAGCTTGTCTATTTCGCTTTTAAATGACATATTCAACACTCATCAGTTAACTTATCTTAGAATGCAAGAGAAAAAGGACTTCGAAATAGGCGCCCAGATCGATCCAATAGTTTCCTTCACAAAGAATGACTTAGAAGACAAACATCTTCATGTGCTAACTACTTTCGTCTCGCCACAAGGGAAGGAGGTACTGGTGACTAACAATGTCGACCAAGCAATGAAGTTTGCCTTGGAGCACAAGGGTGAGGTAGTTGAGCTAGATGAAAAGGCCGGTAAAAAGTTGTTACGCAAAATAGATCTTTTCCTATTACCTGTGATGTGTTTGTTATACTGTTTTCAATTCATGGACAAACTCACAACTAGTTACAGTTCGATCTTAGGATTACGGACAGAGTTGCATATGGTTGGAGATATGTACAGTTGGACCACGACGTGCTTTTACTTGGGTTATTTGGTGTTTGAGTTCCCAGCGTCATTGCTACTTCAAAGGTTCCCAGTGGCTAAGACTGTGGGCTGTTTTATCGTACTTTGGGGTATGATATTGGCTTTGTGTTCAGTTCCACAGTACGCTGGGTTTATTGCATTGAGGACAATCCTTGGAATGCTTGAGCTGGCTGTGACTCCAGCTTTTGGAATCATCACATCTCAGTGGTACAAGAAAGAGGAACAGTTTTTGAGAACTGCATGGTGGTTTGCTTCGAATGGTATTGGAACTATTCTTGGACTGTCTATCGCATACGGGTTGTACGAGAACCAGTCGTCGTACAGCTTACCAGCTTGGAAGTTGGTATTCGTAGTCACTGGTGTATTGACAATCTTTTTGGGGTTTGTTATCATGATACACATACCCGACACACCAACTAAAGCGTGGTTCCTTTCAGAAGAAGAAAAAGTCTTGGTCGTTGAAAGAATCAGATCCAATCAACAAGGTTTCGGAAACCCAAGATTCAAGAAGAAGCAATTCATTGAAGCGTTAACCGATCACCGGACGTGGTTATTCTTTTTGTTTTCTGTTTCCACAAACATTCCAAATGGTGGTATTACGAGTTTTGGAACAATATTATTAAATGAACAATTTGGATACACTGCCGCACAGTCATTGTTGATGCAGATGCCGTCAGGCGCGGTTGAGATAGTGGGATGTGTGTTATTTGCCTGGGTTACTAGATTCTTGAAATCACGTATGTTGATGGCATGTATTATCACTGCTGTAGTTGTTATGTCACAGTGCCTACTAGCATTTGCACCTACCAATGCCGGGAAATTATCAGGATATTATTTGTACTCACTTGCTCCTGTGGGTTTTATTTGCATTTTGTCCCAGGTGTCTTCANCTTCAGGCGCGGTTGAGATAGTGGGATGTGTGTTATTTGCCTGGGTTACTAGATTCTTGAAATCACGTATGTTGATGGCATGTATTATCACTGCTGTAGTTGTTATGTCACAGTGCCTACTAGCATTTGCACCTACCAAT